AAGCCCAGCTTGTGTTACCTGGCATTTTCTTGCAGCACCTTCTTATCCCACATCCTCTTAAATTGAAAGCAGGGAAATTGGAGCTGATTGAAGGGATTCCTTTTTGGTGATAGGCCAGAAGCAACATAAGGATAGGGAGAAAAAGATGTGAACCCAATCTGCCGTGTGTTGACTGTACTGATTGGGGGCTTGTGCTTAGACGAGCCTCTCTATCCCCTCGTTCCTTCTGTTTACTTTCAACCTCACCACTCCTTTGAATGAGAGCATCCTTCTCATTTCGCTCTCAGCTGGATCAGCTGCATCACAGGAGGCAGCCACCATTGCATGCCATTCAGATTAATTAAGAAGATAACAGCTTAACTTGTGCCAAAACGTGCAAGTTAGTGTTTTCATAACAGGAGTTCCATAGACTGTGTGTAGCAATATAAGAAGAATTGTGAAATGTAAAAAAAAAATCCCTAAGATTCTTCCTTAGTGGGTGTTTGTGGTATTAGTTTTCCACATTAAACCCAAATGCAAACTCAGCCCATTAAGGCCTGTTGGGTTACTGGAACAATGTCCTGTTTTGCAAGATCTGCAGGGAGCAATGATTGCAGCACTGGCCTAAGTGGCCAACATGGGACCCTGGGAATTTAACTCAGATAAATAAGGGCTGGAATAGCAAATAGAGGTTAAAGAAAAAAGTACATCTATTGTCGCACAGCATGTTTGTTTATTTATGATATCTAAAGGCCGGGTCTCTATGCAGGGTGGGGGCTGGAAAAATAACAGCTAGCCTATTGCTCTTAGTGTCCAGCTTCCCAGCTTTCATTAAGTGTTATTACCACTGCTGTGAAAGTGCTGGCCAGCCTGAGACCTGACATCCTCTAGTTGCCCATGCATTTGGATGTATTTTTGATCCCTCTTATCCACCACTGAGGAGGGGGAATTAAGGTAGCGAGACAGAGAGATCTTAGACAGATCTTAAGGTGGCATCCGTATCTGTAATGGGAAAGATAGTGCTAATAATTCATCCCATGATCAGTTCCCATACAGTGCTTGTGGATTATAGAATGTCGGTCACATTATCAACATTTGCAGATTATTATTTTAATAAATCTTTAATACTGTATTATTGCTATAGACCCATATATGTCTGATCAAATGTATTCAGTGTTTTTACTATGAAGTATATTTTTGTTATTATTGTTATTATTATGTATAATATTTATATGCTTTTCTAAAATGTGGATTTCAAGCAGGATGGTATTCATTAGCAATTTGCTATTGTTTTCCATTGCTCTAAGGCTTTGTCTTGATTGATGGCAGAGCTTGTGTTTATTTGTATATCGGGGTCTGAAAAATTTGTATGGTATGCTTTTTCAAGCAGAAGTTATCGACATTCGGTGTAAATGGTACTTGGGATTAGATTTTCACAGCAGATTGCTGTTATTAAGGGTAAAAAAGCCTACCCCTTTGAGCAGTCATCTTCCTGGGAGGCAATCCATTTCTCTTTCACGCAGCCCCGAGTGCCGGACCAGGCTCTTAATGCACTGAAGCAAAAGTGCTTCGGCCCGCAACCTTTCACGCCTTCAGCTCTCCTTTATGTGATTGAATAGTTAATAACTATAAGTCGCTTTTGAAAGCTTTGTGCCGCCGTCCTTCTTAGGCGCTGCTTGTCTTTTTGTCTGCTTGGCTGCTATACCTGTCAGCTGATCTGTCTGTCTGCATGTTTGCTTGCCCCAGATGGCAAGTCGACTTTTAGCCCACCTCCTCCACTCTAGCTCCTCTGACTTTTGTCTTTGTGTCCTGCCTGACTTACAGCTTGTGTGTCTGGATGTCTTGGTTTGTATATCCGCTTATTCAGGGCTGTGGATCCCCCTTTTTTTCTGGTGCTTCCTGTTTATCTTCCTGTAAGTTCGCACAAACCGACAGACTCCCTCACACAGCTCATTAGCTCATCCCACGCTCACAGCTCTGGCAGAATGTGACCCTGCCTCATTGTGTACCATGCTCATTTGTTCTCACTGCATGATGTGACTATTGCTTATTTATTCCCCACAGGGCTTCCATCCCACATTAGAATGATTGACTCATTTCATTCAGTGCACATTTCCAAGCATTATTCAATAAGCTAATTTCTCTTGGCATTCAATTCCTTTCCTTTTGCGATACTGACAAAATTCTAATGTTACTGAGGCACATTGCGATTCACAGGCGGATTTGTTTCTATAGCTAATTATCTGAGTTGTGGAATAATTTTGCACATGTGATGTTTTCTGTCCACTGGAACTGAGCCGCACAAAAGGCCAAACATTAACAATGCAGCCTGAATAGCTGAGGAGCCAATTGTGTACACAAGGCTGGCAGATGCGGTCAACAAGAAGCTTAAGAGGGATTGCGACGCTGTTGAGGCTCAGTCAAAATAAGCAGAGCAAATTTGCATTCTGTAAAAATGTCTGCTTAAGGATCTGTTTTCCAGATGAAAATGCCATCAACCAATCATTTAATAAGGCAATGTTTTGACAAAAAAGTATCCTAACTACCGTCTGCAGTCAAGAAACTTTGCCTGTATTGTTAGTTTCTGTGATTTCTTCTTTTTTTCCTGTTAACAGTCAAGTGCTTTTCTTCCTGAAGCGTCTATTTATCGACCAGGCCTCAATGACACAACACCTGCTACAAAAGTGCCTTGTGCACTGCTATGTCAGATGAGAGTAAAATATGTAAGCAACGAGTGGAAAAATGTTCAACAGAAGTAGCATCAGGACTGGGTACTGAACATTTTACATTTGACCCAATTCAAAACTGAATTATGATGGATCAGTAAACACATATTTTGTTTTGGATTTTTGTGTTTGAACTTAAGGACATTTTGATGTATCCAAACATCAGCAAAAAATTTGATATCCCTACACTTGATACTGCTCATGCCATTTTCAACTTGAATGCCCTCATATCCTGTTCTCTATTTGGTCTCTTCTACTAAGGATGAGAGCAAACGACATGACATAAGACTGGGGAAGAAAGAAGATAACAAAAACATTCAAAAAAATCTGTCATCCTTTTTCTGAAAAGTTTTCGACAAAGTCAATATTGATGCATCTTTCCTCATAAGACATATTAAGCCTTTTCTTTGTTCTCAGTGTAGATTTTAAAATTTATTTTACCACAGTCAGTGCTACAGGGGTGAAGCATATGAGAACATTGTAAGTGTTTTTTTCTGGAAGAACAATGTAAACATGAGGAATGCTGGAGGACATAGGGACCCTTTTTCATCATTCTATCTCTATTCTCCCACTCTGCAGAATTTTTTGGTTCATTCTCGTAACATTATGCGTCTGTTTTTTCCTCATCATACGTAGAATGACATGAAAGACATGAGCTGTGCAGTAGGGATACCGCCCTATACATAGGAGTGCTGCCACAAAGCCGAGTAGCTTCATCAGTTGAACGAATCCCTTACCCAAGAAACTTTATCATCTGCAAGCATTGATTCCATCTGCAGTACAAGTCTGTCTGCTCCCCAAAGAGATCCAAAGCTTCTCCTTATTAGTCAGCCTTAGAATGAGTTAGCATTTTTATAAAAGATTTAAGTTTGATTTTAAAATTTTAAATCTGCTTAACTTTGCTTTTACTAATTCCCTGCTAAAAGTGTACTTATTAAAGAAGCATATAACATTTTTGGAAATTTGTGGAAATTTGGATTTGGAAATTGGATTGGATTTATTGAGTCATCTCTTTTTATTAAGATCTTTGATGGATATAAATTTAGACTTGGTGAATGGTACATAAAATTATTAGGAGGCTTGTGAATTTATCAACAACATCCTTGGGGCCTTTTGGCCACTAAAACCTTATATGACCCAAGTAACAAGTGCCATTGTATGAAGCCACCGTTAACTAGGTGAGGTCGGCAGATGACAAATGGCCTCAGGCTACTATGTTGTCTGACCTTACCACCTAAGCAAGGTAACACTCGTTATGTTCAGAGCTCTTAGAACACTGGTTGGTGTGAGCTATTACCCAGTACCTTAGTTCTTTTTGGCTCTTCTATAAAACGAAGTATAAAATACATAACCTTCTAGAAATTAATATGATATATATTCCACATCAATATATATATATATATATATATATATATATATATATATATATATATATATATATATATATATATATATATATATATATATATATATATATATATAACATATCAAATACACTCTTTAAAGATGTTTAGCAAAAGACACTGTTAAAGAATCAAAAGAGAATCCTGCTTATAGCCAGATACTTGTCTGTTTTTCTCCTGAAGTAATCTAGTCTTACAATATGTCATTTAAAAGATCAAATTTAAAATAAATGAGCAGGTAATGCATTCAGAGCTCTTTTCAGCATTTGTCTGTGCTAGGAAGGTTTTAAAAAGTGAAATTTAAACTTTAGCATTGCCAGCTACTGTTGTAGAACTGTAGGAAAGTCTATATTCCCAAAATAACAGATGGTGAAAAACCATGCAAAAGTTTACCCATTTATGGTAAGAACATCTATGAAATCCAGAAAACTCAAGAACTTACAGTATTAAACCTGTTTACTAGAATATTTGATGATCAGTTTGACAAACTGTGACGGACGACATAAATCCCAGATTTTCAGAGCATAAGAGAATTATGAAAATAAAATGTATTTGAAATGTCCTCCTCTTATTAAATTTGGATACTATTCGTTTCACGTGCGTTAGATTTCGGATTTTATTGTGGCTTTTAATTACACTGACAAATAGGTATTATTTGTGGATACTACTCTTGTTTAAATATGTCAACCCTGATTGTTATTCAAACTCACTTTAGGGTAGCAATTATCGATTTTTGCAAGAAAACAAAAAACAAATTGCTTTTCTTACTTTTTGCATGGAATAGTTTCCAAAAAAAATATATCCCATCAAAGGATTTTATTCAATTCTTTTTTAACAGCCCTTTGTGATCTTTGATCACCCACTTAATGGAATATCTGCTATTGTTCTGCAGGATTTTGACAACAACGGGTGTGCTGATTGCAAGATGACAGTCCCAGAGAGGAAACCAAATCTCCTAACCTTTGTTTTTCATCAGTCATTATTGGACAGAGATGGAAGATGTCCTGCTGCAGATTTCATCCCTGATGGGACCTTGTCCTTCTGCAGACAAATCAAATGATTCAAATGACCTTCTGTTATTTATGAAAAGAACAGAAATGTGATGTTACGTTTTAAAGTTGAGTGTTTAGAGAGTTTAAAATATAATAATACATGGAAAACAATAAAGGCTCCTACAACCATCATATACATGGTGTGATTTGTGTCATTGTTAATCTATTTTTTGCCTTTTTTTTATTTTACGTCAGTATATTTTATCCCATATTGTTAGTACTTCAACGTAATAACTGTATTTCTATGCTAAAATCTACAAAAGAATATATACTTGAGTCGCATACAGCAACTACCCCTGAAGAAAAATGCCCACAAGCCAAACCAGCCAAAAATCTTAATGAGTCTGGCCAGATAAAAAGAGGGAATTTCAGCAAAATAAAAGAATAATAAAGGTATAAAATCCTTAACAAGTCTGCCTTTGTTCTTCCACCCCACCCACCATAAGAAGGCATAGCTGCAGCTCTGAGGGCAGCTCTGAGAGTTCCATGCCCATCGGCCTTCAATCACATGGGATGTCTGAGTTTGACAGTATAAAGTCTTTCTTCTAGAACAAAATAAGACCCCTAAGCAATAGTGGATGAGATGTTAGTAACTATGCACTCCATAGGGAAGTAGATCAAGCTTGGTAGTAAAGTATACACAAAGTGCTGGTTGGGGATAAAACAATGGACCTTTGAAAACACGACTGGATGCCACAACAGGCTCCCAATCCTTGCAATTAAGTGTTCTGAAAATGCATCTATATTTTTGGGTTCACAAGTAAAACAAGGTACTCTCTTTAATTTATGCATTGAAAGTGTTGAACTTTGTGATCTTTACTATTTTCCAAATGAAGTTTCAGTCTTCTAACAGCTGTCTTCTAACAGCAGCATCTTGTCTTTCTGCAGAGCTGAGTAAGTCATCATGGAGGAGATGAGTTTAAAGTAAAGAGTAAAACTATTCACTGAATGGGAAACAAGATGAATTGACATGTTCATTACACAGAAATGTCTCTAACTTAGACTGCTAAGTAAATCGAAAATATTTTATTTTTTTCATTAGGACTACAGGTGCATTCTGTCTGATGGTCTGCTATCGGTACCAAAATAAGGGAGTGTTACTGGTCCAGAGCTCAGCCAACAGGATTAACGTGGCACTTTGACAAAACAATGAAACAGACAACCCCTTTTAAGATCAACTTTGGTTGTAGAGAACTCAGCCTGAAATGAAATTATAACACTAGCAAATTGTGAGAATTTTGGGAAAATGTAAGATTCAATATAATTTCCATTAGTCGATGCCGTTCTAAAGCAACCTAATTAACTTGGAATAGATGTTCTTCATCCTCTAAGGGTGGAAAAATAGTAGCTCTCCGCAGGTGTTGGGAAAGTCGTTACTAAAACAAAAGAACTGAGTAAGGACTAAAATTCAGCCAATTGCTTCGAGGTCTAGTTGCCACAGGACATACTGTATCTTGCTGGATTTGATTCTGTAAAAAAAAAAAAGGCAAGTCTGCTTTTGGCCACATAAAACTATACTTGCATTGACTGGACATAGTGATGCATCTTTCATTCATTCTTAAAAAAGGGAGAATTCAAGGAAGCATTCAACCATAGGTACACCATTGGAATGATCAGGACTGGTGGTGGGAAGGTGATTCAAGGTGATTCAATCCGTATAAATGGCACGACAATAACAAACTAAAAGAAAAATACATCAAGATTCTGAAATATCTCATCAAGACATATGCAGAAAATTTTGGACTTGAAAGCAAGCCAAAGATTAGGGTGATTGCAAAGAGGCCTTCCAGACTCAAAAAACGTGGAAGTGACTGATCTAAGGTACCAGAAGAAACAAGTAGGAAGTTTGTCAGGAATTATGTGAAGTATTCAACGACTATAAAGGGCATTGTGTCTTGTTTATTGAGAATTGAGAAGTTTAGACATGTCAAATAGATTTAAAAAACATCTATATTTCTTGCATTGTCTAAAATTTCAAAGGGGAATCTCTTGTCAATCAGAAAACCTCTTTGTTGAATAAAATGAATGTATACTTAAATTTGCTAAGGTTCTAAATAATTGGATTTCTCTTTATCAACTCCCTAAGGACAACGACAAAAGCTAAATGCATGATAAACAAAGCCTTGGATGTTTCCAGCTCTGAAGCTTTTGAGTGTGGGGAAAGAACAAAGATTTTGTGTGTGTCATATGATGATGTATTTAAAGTCAGTTTATTCATAACATGTTACTGTTTAACCAAAGTGTCTGTTATTCGTTTAGACTCTGACAACATTCCATTATTGTAAGTAAGGGGGAACGAACGCTGCTCAGGCAGAACAGGGCTGGTTACTGTGCAATAGGGGCCGTATGATGAACTGTTCTCTCTTTGCAAAGATAAAAATAATGTGCTGACTGAGTGAAATCCATCAATCTCTGTTTATTTAACTGGAGCAAACAGTTGAATACTTTTTTTCCAAACTACAACAGCTAAGTAGTTATCAATGCAGTTGGTATTTTCTAGGCTACAACAGATGTGGGACATTATTCCCAGAACCAAATTCCATGGAAAATCAAAACCAGCAAGGCTTAAACTTGGTGTGTGTGTAGAGGCAGTGCTGACCCTTAAACTCCATTAGAAAGAATGCATCTTTCATAAGGAAAATGTGCACAACTAAAACTCACTGCTGATCTTTAAATAAGAAACATCCTTTTGAGGTAAGAGGCATGTACTTTCCCACATAATCCGCGTCCCTCACAGAAAGTTTTTGTTTTGCTTCATTTTTCTTATACATCTCCTGCTGTCTGTTTATTCAGTTCCAAAATATCACAGTTCAGTGGTTTTAATCTCGTTTCCTCCCATGAACATGCTGTTTGTTGCAGGGATGTAACACACAAACAGGCATTAGTGTTCCAGCTGGCCATTGCACACCGAATTGAAAGCCACTCGATCACAAAAAAGCAGTTATAAAGTGAAGGACAACTAACAACAAGCATACATATCCTCCCATTTCCAACATAAACCACATGTGGGTTTGGAGCCGCCGAACGTAAAGGACTACAGAAAAACAAGGGGTGAGGTGTGGGGCTGTGTAACATTCAAAATTCAATCAAGTGAAGGCCATCTCCAGCGGGGTAACAGCGTGTGTGTGGGGGGGGGGGGGGGGGGGGGGGGGGTCTAACTCAGCTGAAGTTTCCACTGGGCCTGCTGAGCTCCTAATGCAGCCTTGGATGTAATTGGGTCCCAGAAGGCTGTTCATTATTGCTGGTGAGCGAGGCAACAAAACAGAAAAAGGGGGTAGAGGGAAAAAGAAAATGTCTCATTCTTTGCTCAGTGCCTTTGTCTTGGCAACATTATGGGACACGAGTTAATTAAAAGAGCAGTTGATGCCTCTGTTTTTCTCATCAATCTCACTTCTGCTCTTATTAAGTTTGTAATGACAGTGGAGCTTGTCGCTGTCTGCAAGCAGACTTTAAACGAGAGAGAAGGGCAGTTAACACAAGGGACAACTAATTTCAACAAATCTCTCAGTGGTCAACATCTAACATCACAATAATCTCTTCATCAAATCTAAGGCTAAGTGATATATAGTCTGCAGGGGATTTACATGTCCTCTTATGTAGAGGCAGCTTTATTCATTCGGGTGTGGCTGAGGAGCCCATTTAAAAGGCGTGGCTCCAGCTCCGATCTACAACGCCTTGGAGGCCGTTTTAATTCTTTACATCATTACAAGACTCTCTCAAGAAAGCTAGAGTAAAGGTAACTGCTGACACAGTCATTCACAAAGATTATTTCATAATGCCAGCCTATAGCTCAGATTTATCTCATTAAATTTGAGTCCATTTTGTCCATCCCCTTATCCGCCTGCCACACTCAGTCAGGAAAACTGAGTAGAGGGTCGAGGGCACACTTATGAGGTGCCTATTTGCATGAGGGTTACAGCTAGACAGATGAACACTGACCAATTAAAAAATGATTAAAGCACTGGGATTCAGCAGAGAAAAACATTGTTAGTTACTGAGCATATTTTTGTTTTTCCCTCTGGATCCGTGCCAGTTGGAAACCTCTGCTAAAACCTTTCTTTCCAAGAAAAACTGCTTAAGACTTTTCCACATCATCAAAGCATTGGCTCAACAATCTGGTGACCTGGAGATTTTACATACCGCTTCAGTAATACAAGAAAAAAAGACAGGGATCATTCTGGTAGATGTTGCATAATGTAAGGGAGGAATGATATGCTTTATTTTTTTCCCCTTTTCTTTGATTTTCCTTCACTCTTGCTAAAAGTGAATACAGTAATAACATTAATACTGTGGATCTGTATTTGCTTTGTAAAAACGAGACCTTATTTAGATAATGGTTGTCAATGGAACAAGATCCTAAGAGCAATAAAGTTTTAAAAGTTGATTTTACTACTAGGTTTAGGTAACTATTAATCTACATTTTTTATTTATTTTTTTATTCAAATGTTGGTCTGTTCAAAAAGTGTATTTTAGGAGTCAGTAACAAAACAGAAGTCAAAGAAGGCTTAAGGATTCGTTTTTGGCATTTTCTAATTTATGCCTTGGTTTGGTAAAATCCATTTATTTTAATCCAAGCAGCTTCCCAACTGATCTTTATCCACAATGTATCCATCTTTATTTTCTCCACTGCTTAATTAAGGTTGTGGCTGAAGAGAATGGTTCTGTTATTGGCTTGCTTGCACATGCTCAGCTGTGAACTTGTAAATTAATCACACACCATTGTTTACTCTTGCTTATGCATCTGTAAAAATAAATCACTGAACCTGCAACTAGACAATTTATAGCCTCATTTTCCATCGCTTTCACTTATTAAGCAATTATTTGTGCCATTGAAAAACCAACCTAAATGTGCATGTATAAATCAAACATCGATTTAACAAAAGAAGTAAGATCCTACAGTATCAAATGAAATGATCTTCTTAAAAAAAAAGGATAGACAATGTTTATTTTTTTTAAATCTACATCAAATGTTAGAGGTTGGCATGTGAGTCAAGAGAACTACACTGTTTACAGTTTATCTGCAGCTGTTTGATATTCCAGCTAGAGATGCAGCAATCAATTGGCCAGAGTTCGACATTAAATGGTCTTTCTTTGATCATTTCTGATTGATCACTGACAGGTCAAATACTGAAAAATCAGACTTTTTTTGTATT